AGAAATTTTGGAGAGGAAGAAGAGAAGACGAGGAAAGAAATTAGGGGATAGGTTTAGGATTTTAATTAAGTTCTGGAAAAATTGCAATTTAACCCTTGCATTTGTTTTAAAAATTCAATTTATTTCCTTACCTTTAAAAATTATATGTTTAAGGGCTGGTTTATTTTATTGCAAATAACCACGGGTAGTTTTGTCCTTTCATAAGCAAAAGGGAAGAAAAAATTGCAAACGCGTCGAGTGAGCTGCACGATCAGCTTCATGGGGGTTTTCGCCTTTGACTAATAATCTTAGAGGGTATTTGCTAATTTTTTTATGATAGGGGGAATCGTGCAGTTTCGAATTTCACAGGGGTAGTAAATGCAATTAACTCATAATAATACAGAATACATACTTGATGATTGGTATTCGAAATTTCTCTTTATTAATTTATGCAAAACATAATGCAATTTTGCAATTAAAAATAAAAATAAAAAATTACATTCTACAATCACACAATCTGTACAGTGACCGAACACCACAGCTTCAAACGGCATTATGCTTCCATTGATTGAATTTTCACTCCGCCACTATAATAGAAATTCACCTGCAGATAGGTATTTAAACATCTAGACGTCAAGTTTGTAACTAACCATTGCATTGTTTGTTTAAAGTACGAGAAATTTGTTGCACGAAAAACAAAGTAAAATTTATATTTATGTAAGAAAGAAAAGAAAAAAAAAAAAAAACCAGAACATTCCTCTAGCTTTTAGAGATGTAAATGTGTTAATTAAATCATCCTATTCCAGATGAAAAAAATAGGGTTTTTTGCAAGAACCACCCTTGTGTAAATTCTAATTGCTGAAAAACCCCTTCTGTTAAAAAAATTAGCACGGACCCCCCTATGAAAGTTAGTCAAAGCCAATAAGGTCCCTAACGGGTTATCGTGTTCTTCACGCGCGGATTGTGCGGCTTGGGGTGCGTGTTCTAACCTGAAAAGACCTAAATACCCTTAAAATCATAAAAATTGAAATTACAGATTAACCCCAAAAATTTCATTACCCAAAATGAAAGTTTCAGAATTTTCAATTCAGTCCTTGGCAATTTCAAAACGCCCTCTCCCCAAATTATCTCACTCCCGTTTAAACTTTCCACCATTTTCACGCACAACCCACACAAAATCCTACCCCGATGGCGCCCCTTAGCCGGAAATTGACCAAACGATACGATTTTCCGAACGCTTTTCCGACATATTTTTTTTCCCGACGGAATTTGTTCTTAGACAAATCACTCCATTCCCTCATGTTTTTTTCCAGCAAAAAACCAACCAACATTCTAAGCTTGAAGCTCTTTTCTACATCAAACCAAATCAAGGCAAGGGCCGGAAATTTGAAAGCTGAGCTTTAAGCTTTTTCCTGAAATTTCCGACCGGAAATTCCAACTGAAATTTTCAGAAATTTGCCGAGAAAACCTTTTCTTTTTCTTTCCTTGCAGCACAACATCCCGATACACTCTTTTCTTCTCACGATATTCTGCTCTTCTTCTTACGATATTCTGCTCCAAATGGGTTGACCTCGGTGAAGATGGTGGCACACAAAAGATAATTGATTGGGAAGAGAAGGTCAGGGTGGGGTACAATACTGAATGGGAAAATCTCGAACGGCACCGTTAGAGTTTGATTGCTCCGGCGAGGGCACCATTTTGTTTTCCGACGATTGAGTCAGTGTTTTACCTATCACCAAGGTTCTAAAAGGCGGTTATCGGTTACGTGTCGGTTTGGGACCGCCACACGATAAATCGGCGCGACGGTGATTTATCGAAGATAAATCGGAAATATATCGGTTTTTAAATTTAGTGTAATATATTTCTAAAAAAATATTTTACTCAAAATATATATAAAAGAATATTTAAACATAATTTTGTCCTATCATTCATATGTTATTATATAATTATAATTACTCAATAAATAACAAAACTTTAAAAATAATAAGATCATAATATAATAAAAGATTCTTACGAAATACAAATACTACGCAAGTCTTTCGCATCAATAATTAATATAAACACAACAAAACATAAATTGCGGGGTAGTACTTGGTTTGGTTTTGGAAGTTGAAAAAATTGGAGAAAAACAAAGAATCAAAACAAACTTTCATTTTAATTTAAATTAAAAAAAAAAAAAAAACCGATTTGTTAACCGATATATCGGTTTGACCCGCCAAAAAATCGCCGCAAACCGCCTCGCCGTAAAAAACCGATATTCCAAACCGCCTCAACAAAATCGTAAAGGTTTATAACCGATACCGATATGGCGGCCGATATATCGACCGCCACGACCGATATTTAGAACACTGCCTATCACTAACTTGCGAAATACATTTGGGGCGATGGAAGCGATGGTTGGAAGAAGAAGAAGGTATTTAATTAATGAATTTAACTTCATTTATGTAAATTGAAAACAAATTGGTGTTTTGGGTATATTTGTGTTTTATGTATAAGGGGTATTACAGTCATTTAAGCTAAGTAAACAGTCAAATGGTGAATAATGGGCGATTTGCACTACTAAATATTTGTATTTGTATTTGAATTTTTAGGTCAATTTTGTATTTGAAATTTAGATCAATTTGTAGTTGTATTTGAATTCTAGTTCAATTTGTATTTGTATTTGAATTTTTATGTCAATTTGAGTGTCTGAAATAAATTGGTTAATTAAAAAATAAATCAATTAGTTATTTCGTACTTAATTTCACGAAATGTCACTTCATATTTCGTGGAAAAATCTACGAAATATGGTCTTCCATTTCGTAGAAAACTCCACGAAATATGGTCTTCCATTTCGTGTACGTTTACACGAAATGCACGATTTTTTTTAATCTAACAGTTTCGTCCTTCGTGTTCTATAACAATAAACACTTATATTTCGTGTGAAAAGACACGAAATTATTGAGTGGATTTCGTGTAATAATACACGAAATAGCGGGCGAATTTGGTTTTTTTTTAGGAAAGTTACAAATGAAATAAATCGCACTGCAAGCCGGTAAAAACCGCACTATGAATAGCATTTCAGTTTAATTATTTGTGTGACGTTAAAGTCAAATGCATCATTTCTCCTTATAGTGTAATTCTATCAATTGATTATCATCCAATAATCCTAACTGACATACACCAGTAGAAAAATTGTTTTTTAATACAATTATAAAATGTACCATTTAGACAGTCTAGGAGTTATAGTAAATGTTATAATTTATCGTAGCAAAAAAATATTTGTTGCTACCGTTTTACCATGTCAAAGTTTTTGTCACACCCATAACTGGCACGGGGAAAAATTATAACAAATGTGTAGCAAAATCCTTTATTGTTACGAATTTAATAAACATCGGGTAAGTCTTCTGCTGCCACGTGTAATATTTAATTATTTATAATATATTCCCCACTTGAGTTTACCTTTAGGGGTTTTAGAAAGAAAAAAAAATTACACGTAGCAATAGAAGACCTACCCAATATTTATCACCAGGCGTAGGGTCGAAGGAGCCCGATAGTTTGCAACATTTTTTATAAGTTAACTATATTTTCGTGAGCTCGAGCTCGAGCTCGCCACAATTATAGAAGGCTCAAGCTTGAGCTCGAGCTCGAGGGGCCTATAATTTTCAGCTCGAGCTCGAGCTCATTGTGTGTCTAAGGAGCTCGCGCTCGCGCTCGAGCTCGCATACGAAACGAGCTCGAGCTCAGCACAACCAAAAACCCATCCATCAAATTTATTTTTTCAATTAGAGAAGTAATATTTATTTTTTTTATTTATTATTAATAATATCCATTATTATATATTATTAATACGTATTAAAAATATAGAAAAAAAGGTAAAGCTCGCGAGCCGTCGAACAATTGAAATGAAGCTCGAGCTCAACTCGTCGAAAAGATCGTGCTCGTGAGCTCGAGCTCGAACTCGATTTTTCGAGTAAGCTTTGGTAGCTCACGAGCACCGAGCCGTCGAACAACTGGAATGAAGCTCGAGCTCGACTCGTCGAAAAACTCGGGCTCGTGAGCTCGAGTACGAGCTTTTTTCGAGCAAGCTCCGGAAACTCACGAGCCGGCTTGTCTTATTTACACCCCTATATGTATCTATTGGCAATTTCGGTTCTTCAAATGGTACCATAATCATTTCCACAAAAACATCCGGTTACCCACATGGTCCCCACCCATGCACTTGCTTATTTGCATAAAGTGGATCTTTTGATTCTATTTTTCAATATAATCCAAAAGGGCCAAAGAATTCAAATAAACTGAGCTACTAAATATCGTCTATTTCGTCTTCTACTCAAACATGAGAAAAGGGACAAAGAGTTTAAATGAACTGATGAGTTGTCAATTTGTATTACTAGTCATTTGTTTTGTAACACCCCGCATTTTCATAAGCATGTTATATGAAATTATATTGAGTAAATCGATAATTTCCATTTCATGAATTATCTAGTAAATGTTTATTGCATCCTAACTGTTTATGTTGTTTAATATTTGGTTAAATGTGATCAAACTCGATTTGATTGAATGATTAAGTAATTCTATTTATGTGATTAAATGAATTATGTGCTTTAAATGAATAATTAATCTATGAAATTTATCTCTACTATTCTATGATTTAATAATTATAGATACACCTATTAATAATTGTGTATGTTTGCCATGTATGTGCCGTATGTGTTTGAAGTATGTAGTCTAGTGTATAATCTATTTTCTGAATTGCTATTAGGACTCCCATGGTTTTAGATATTGCATAAATAGCCCTTGGGAATTTTCCAAGGGAAAATTCCTCCGCTTTTTCCTTCCCAATTTTCCTACGGCCGTTCCTTCTTCAACTTAGAGAAGAAACGGGAAATTCGGTCTTCACTCTTCTTCCTCTCACCCCACGACAGCCTCACCCGAAGATTCAATGAAAACTCATCAAAATTTCCCCTTCTTCTCTGGGAAAATTGACATCTAATCAATGGGATTAATTTCTCTATAAATCCCCCAAATTGTCAAGAGGATGGGGAGGGGATAGCTCCAAGTTCAGCCCCAAAAGCCTTCAGCCAAAGCTCCGAGAATCCTTCGGTTTCCTCTTCTTCCTTGTATTCGATTTTCTTCAAAGAGGTAAGGACTTTTGGTCTATACTGAACTAATGATAATAATAAGATGATGTTTCTGTTTTAATTGATTAATATGCTTAGGAATTGGATTTAGGGATCTAGGTCATAAAATATAGATTTCAATGAACCCTAATTCGATTTCCAGATTCGTAGCCTCAGGTTCCAGTGCATGTTTCATCGATGATTTGTTTTCTGAAAATTATGAAATTAATTGTGCGTGTAGATATTTCTGTTAGCTTCGTTTTGATATACGGTATGCGTAATTTGGAATTATATTGATCAAGTTATGAACCGTTTTCCGAAACTGCACGATTTCTGAGTTATCTATGATTTATGTGTTAAACTAGATTTTATCATGTTCCTATTCATGCGATTCCAACTGGATATGATTATAGACTTATAAATCTGATTCTCCGTGAAATTTCATGGTGTTTTGTTGAAAGAATGATTTAATTGATATTTTTAAAGTTGAATGCTCTGTTCTGAAATTCTGCTGGTGTTACTGTACTAAATGAATTATTTCTCTCCCATGGATAAGTATTTTACTGAACTGTTTTAATATGGTATAAATCACACATATGTGAACGTGTGGTGGAAATTTCTTAATGTTTGTATGTACAGTTTAAGAGATATGAATTTCCAAAGTTGAAGTACCAAATCTGCCAGATTTCCTTGTAGTTCTTTGGAATAGAATATGTGGATTTGGATTTCATATATTATATGCGTACGTGCTATTATGATTATCTTATGCTTATGTGTTAACATAAATGTATAACCTAGAAACACATGAATGATGCATTTAAGATAATCACTTTGGTATGTTATAACTATGAAAGTGGTTCTATGAAATAATATGATAATCCCCTTCTCTTGTATGTGATATGTCTTGTATGTGGTACGTGTACGTTGCATAATATATGTGAATTACAAGAATGTTTATTTATGTGTTTTGAAGTAATTATGTGAGTCACTTGAATAAGAAATTCTAAGAAAGAAAATGGTTTGAATATGTTTGTTAGCTATGTGGTTAGGCATTTATGTGTTTATTATGCTAAGCGCAAGTTCGATCTAACATGGTTATATTATTGGAGTTGAATGATTTTTCATTTATGGTATTGCATGGAAGTATAGGAACGTCAGAATCTTAATATGGTTATCGGTCGAGTAGACACGGGAATACGAGGGGCCAGTATTCCAACTACGTACTATAGACTAGAGTGGGTAGCTCCCCTCAAAACAGGCTCAGAATATCGACGTCTACTACCGATAACCATGTTATAGGGATACCGTCACATTATAGTATTTGTGTTGACATAAAGTACGAGAATGTTTATTAATGTGTTTTGAATTGTTTATATGATTTGTCATTTATGATATTTGCATAGTCAGTATAGGAATTCAGAATCTTAAATGGCTATCGGTCGAGTAGACACGGAAATACGGAGGGGCCGGTATTCCAACTACGGTACTATAGACTATAGAGTGGATAGCTTCCATTAATAAACGGGCTCAGAATATCGACGTCTATTACCGATAACCATGTTATGAATCTGATAGGTATCCCGTCATATTGCATCTATATGTTTAAATTGTTAATACGGACTATGGGGACTTTATGTCTACATGTATTACAGCTATTTGGTCGTTGCATCCCCATGTTAATATAAGATTTTGTTTACGTGAGTACACCTTGTGAGTATACGTTAAGCAGGGGAAACTCGTCGCCCATGTCAAGGTTGAGGTTCTCGAAGCGGTTATGGAAACTGGTGGAGCGGAGTTCGAGGAATCACGAGCTTTTATATCGACCGACTATTTTCAAAGATTATATTAGTCACTTTCTTTTAAGTGTTTTAACTTGAGAAGTTTATAGTTGTAATTATAATTTACTCTATTTAGGAATCTAGTCTATTAAACCGGGGTGTATGTAAAATAAAGTTATTTTGTGTTCCGCTGTATTACAAGTATTGCTTTAAAACCCCGTCTATGTTGAAGTAGCACTCTTTATGAAAATTATATCTTTCAAGTGTGGGTTATGTTTTGAAGAAAGAAAAATGCTTTGACGATTTCCAAACTTATTTTCTAAAGGATCAAATAGGATCCGAAGGTTTTAATAAAGTCCATTTTTCTAAAAACTGTTCTTAATTATATAAACGACATGGAGGGTGTTACATGTTTACTTCTTGTTTCTTATCTTTTTCGACGTTGAATTTGAAATATGGGGCAATTGTGCAAACATCACCGCTTCTTAAGAATTAAGCAGAAGTAGGAACGCCCATTGAGCCGGGCCTACCCGAAGCCCGATTGTTCGGCCTGATTTTATATCAGTCGAGTTTAACTAACGGTGAGCCAGATCAAGTTTGAGCCATTCTATCAAATCCGAAAAGCTTACGAGCCGAGTCTAACTAGGCGTGAGCCAGATCAAGTTTGAGTGTCATTTTATCAAATCTGAAAAGCTTTGCACCTGAAATATTTGGAATGGGTGGTTGTGGGATTTAAACCGAGGACCTTTTATTTTTTGCCTAGATTTGATACCATGTTGAATGACCATCTCAACCAAAAGCTTAAGTTATTAGAGAAATGTATCATTTAACGTTAGTATCTCCAATAGATTCAACTAAAACTAATTACACAAATACTCTGGTGATAAATAGAAATTTGAACTTACATTCATCCATTGTAATTACTTTCAAGCTTATATTAAAGTAGTTTATCGAGCTCAAATTATTTTAATACCAAATATTTACGTTTATCATTGATTTAAATTATTTAAAATATCTCGAATTATTGCAAATGATTAGCAAACAAAACATTCATAAAAAATCTAGTCTTTATGCTATATTAGAATATTTTTACTACCTGACTATATATGTGCATGAATGTGTATTTTTTAAGTAGTGTTATGAGTGCAATTAGAGCTCGATTTAAACGCGAAACATAAATATTGTATGAGCTGAGTTTGAGCCTACAATTACTAAGGCCGATGATACGTGAATTTGAGTTTCTAATCGTAAAACCCGACGGTATTTGAGTTTGAGTCTACCAAGGCTTGGCTCACATGGCCTAATTGCCACCCCTAAGCAGAAGGATATATTTTTTAATTCAAACTTACTGCAAAGAGGACCATGTGAAATATTTAATTGTTGGATTTCTCCCGTCGACGACTCTCGTCTGTAAGATCGTGTAACACACACACACACACTAGCGGATTGTGTTATTCTTGTTTAACTTTGCTTTTGAAATGACTAAATTCCCTCTTATGAATAAATATATAATTGGTTATCATTTTAAATAATTTAATTTCTTCGCACCAAATTATATTTTTCAAAACTCTTTAAAAATCAAATTTTCTACTAAATTTTCCTATTCTCCCTACGCCTCTAAATCCCAGTTCTAACTATAGGGAGGGAGGCGGTCACTTAGGGCCCCCGATTTTTAGAAAAAATTAGGGGCCCCCCAAATAATGTTTTCTACTCTTTATATATATACTAGTCATAATATTAAACGATACTTAAAATTTATAAATAGTTAAACAATTTAAATAACCATAACTATATTATTTTACATAGTTTAAGTATTTGTTGAATATTTTTACACTTATTCTAGCATTTGATGTGAATGAAATGTCTTAGATTTCAATGAAGGAAAAATAATTAAAAATAAAGGAAAAATTGCAAATAACGAAATAACACAAAATTTGGAAGAAGGAATCCCGCAACCGCTTCGGCAACGTTCACAATTTTATCATATCTCTCTAATTCGAGCTCCAAATAACCTGACTCCAGCGGCATTGGGAAACTATTTTAAAGGAGTACAACTCTTATCTTATGCGCTTTTCTAAAATTCGGACACAAATATGGTCAACATAGGCTGACCGATTATGATGTGACCATTAACATATCTTGTAGATATATTATCATATCTTAGAGACCTTGTAATTTTGGCTTGTGTATATTATAGTTTTCTTATGTTAGTGGTTAGGGTTTTCTATACACATTGTATAAGTATCAATAATATACTGAGAGACTAGGGGTGGGAACGAGCCGAGCTCGAGCCGAGCTCGACTCTTTTGGCCAACTCGAGCTCGAGCTCGAGTCCATGTTGCCGAGCTCGAGCTCATCGAGCCAATTTTTTTTGGCTCGAGCTCGAGCTGAGGCTTATAACTAATTTTTTTTTATTATTTAATTTTTTTAATAAAATCATTCTATTTTCTATTAAAAATAATTCATAGGAAAATAAAAAAAAATTATAAAATAAATAATAAACTCTAGTTATATATATATTTTATTTTTTCTATTATTATTATTACAATATTTTACATTATTATGAATTATTTAAGTAATATAGATTTGTTTCTATTTAAATACTGGATATATTTATTATTATAGACTATTTACTATTTAGTTAATAATAATAATAAGAATAAGAATAATATATATATATATATATATATATATATATATATATATATATATATATATATATATATATATATATATATATATATATATATATATATATATATATATATATATATATATATATATATATATATATATATATATATATATATATATATAAACAAAAAAGAGAGAGAGAGAGAAGGCAGCTCGCGACCCGGCTCGCGAGCTGCCGAACAACTAATTTTGGGCTCGAGCTCGAGCTCGAGTTCAAGCTTTTTTCGAGCCGGCTCGTCGAGTTCGCGAGCCGGCTCGGCTCGTTTACCACCCCTATGAGAGACCACATCTCTCTCATTCTCAAATTTTATTCTTTCTATGGTAGCAACAACCATGTTCCAATCTAGCCGCCGACTTCCCACCCTTCCTCAATCGCGGCCCCATTTCTTCTTTATGACCGATGACGACTCTACTCTTCCTCCTCCACCTCCGGCCCCTCTCAACCCTTTCCATCTTACTCATACAAGTTCCAATATCAAGACTCTCGTTCAAATCACCCTTGATATTAAAAATTCAACTATCAAAATTGGAGCAACTTCTTCACCATCACCATCGGTCGTTTCTGCATCACCGACCTTCTTCACGGCAAGCCTAGGCCCACCTCAATCTCTGCCGATGAAGGGCAATACACGGATTACCTCCTCCATTTTTGGATCTATGGCACCATCACCGACAACTTATCCAGCATGGTTCGCTCCAAAACTGCCACCACTCATGACCTCTGGACCGCCATGTCTGTTTGATTGAATATTTACACGATTGAATTTACATGTCAATAAAATACAATTCACAAAAATATGAGAGGGCTCGAAACTAATATAATTTGTAGGGTAAGCTTGCATCGAGAAAGCCTGCGACCTACACACAAATGGTAGTAGGTCCATGGTTAAACAAAAATGAAGGCCCACCATCTACAAGCAAAATGTTGTAGGTCCATGGGTAAACAAAAATGAAGACCCGCAACCTTCACGCAAAAGGTAGCAAGGTCCATGGGAAAAATGTCTTACACACAAAAGGTAGTAGATCCATGGGTAAACAAAAAAAAGACTCGCGACCTGCATGCAAAAGGTAGCAGGTCCATGGAAAAACAAAAAATGAAGTTTCGCGACCTACATGCAGAAGGTAGCAGGTCCATGGGTAAACAAAAATGAAGATCTACGACCTGCATGCAAAATGTAGCTAGTCCATGGAAAAAAATGAAGACCCGCGACCTACACAGAAAAGGTAGCTGGTCCATGGGAAAAATAAAATCGAAGACCCACAATCTGGGTTGAGTGTATATTTTACACTCGATTATATTCCTTTATTAAAATTTTTGTGAGATTTTATTGACATTTGGTGTTTAAAGTCTCTGGTTGTTGTATTTTAGGTGCGAATTAAATTAGACGGATTAAAGGTCAAAGGGGTAAAAAATGGAGCGAAATTAGGCGATAAGGGAAAAGTTAAGTCAAAAGTGCAAGAAAGAAGCCTAGACGACCGTCCAAGCTAAAAAGAAGCCACATTAAGTCATGCAAATCGAGACGGCCGTCTCGGTTTCACCTTGAAATCTCTGACAGTCGTCCGAGTTGCTGAAGAGGAGAAAATATCTCACAACTTCAAGAGTGGCGCCAACTGCAAATATTTTACGATGGATTGCAAGACAACTCGAGGACCGTGCTCGACTCTGCAGCTGGGGGAATGTTCATGAGTTTAACTTACGACGAAGCATACGAACTCTTGGAGCGAATCGCTAGAAACAAATACATGCGGGCATCGGACCGGTCGAATAGCGGAGCAGTCAAGACGGGAGGAATTTTGGAATTGGACGGGGTCAGCGCAATCACTGCCCAATTAGAGAAGCTATCAAAGCAAGTAGCAGCATTGCAAACTCAGCAAGTCCATGCAGTACAAGTTCCCGACCAGTGCGTAGAAGAAACGGAGTCTCTGAATTATGTGCATGACACTAACCCACAACAGAGGAACCCATACTCCAACACTTATAATCCGGGATGGAAAGATCACCCTAACTTTGGGTGGGGAGGGAATCAGCAAGGACAAAGGCAAGCACCACCTCAAGGTCAACCTCCTAATTATTCACGACCAGCTCCCGGATTCCAAAATCCGCCTCAAGCTCCACCTCAAGGTGGAGACCTCGCGAATATCTTGGCCCAATTTATGACGACTACCCAAGCATCCATTCGAAATTTGAAAACACAGATGGGTCAATTTGCAACCCAATTGAACGCGAGGCCAGCCAGTACAGTACCGTCAAATATGGAAGATCCTCGAAAGGGCATCAATGAGCAATGGAAAGCCGTAAGTTTGAGGAATGGAAGACAATTGGAAGAAGTGACGAAGAAGGCGACAAGCAAGAATGGAGGAGAGCAACGAGAAACAGAAGTTGAGACTCAGGCAGATCCACCAGGTGAGAAAAGGGTCGTTGCGCCTAAGCCGACCCCACAGGTACCTTATCCTCAACGCCAGATAAAGGCGAAGAATGAGTCGTATTACAAAAGTTTTCTTGAGCAATTGAATGGATTACATATTAATATTCTATTTACTCGAGCACTTGAACTAATGCCTCATTGGGTAAAATTTTTGAAAGACATGGTATCGAAGAAACGGAAATTCGGTGAACATGAGATGATAGCCTTAACCGAACAATGCAGTGCCATTCTTACTCGCCCAATTCCACCAAAGCTTGGAGACCCGGGTAAGTTTACGATTCCAGTCGCTATCGGAGGTAAGTTCTTTGCAAAATCTCTCATAGATTTAGGAGCGAGCATTAATCTCATGCCTTTCTCATTTTTTCAAAGTTTGGGATTAGGAGATATAAAATTGGTATCTGTGACTTTACAGTTAGCCGATAGATCACTCATATACCCAAAAGGAATAGTAGAGGATGTGTTAGTTAAAGTAGATAAATTCATCTTTCCTGTAGATTTTGTAGTTCTTGATATGGAAGAAGATAAAGAAATTCCTTTGATTTTGGGAAGACCTTTTTAGAGAATGGGTAGAAGTATAATTGATGTGTATAATGGTATTTTATCTATGTCTTTGGGGGATGAAACGATTAAATTTAATGTTTTCCGTACAATGAAGCACCCTCAAGAGGGTGATGAATGTTTTGCTTTTGATGTGTTAGATCAATTGAATTTTGATTTTATTGAACCTTTAATTGCGGATCCGTTGGAAGCATCTTTGAGTGTAGGAACATCAGTTGAGGAAGAAGCAGTGACGGAACAATTATGTTGGTTGGATTCGGCAAAGCCGCTGTCAAGACCACGCTTTGAAAGTTTGGAAACGGAGCTCCCGTTATTTGTCACTTTTAAGCCTTCAGTGATCGAACCTCCGAAACTTGAGCTTAAAGTTTTACCATCTCATTTAAATTATATGTATCTTGGAGCTCATGAGACCTTGCATGTTATTATTTCTTCATCTTTGACAGGTCTACAGGAAAAGAGACTTTTGAATGTCTTGCGAGAGCACAAGCTAGCACTTGGATGGACAATTTCCGACATCAAGGGCATAAGTTCAACTTTTTGCATGCACAAGATCATATTGGAGGAGAGCCATAAATCTTCAGTGGAACAGCAGAGGCGATTGAACCCCATCATGAAGGAAGTTGTGAAGAAAGAAATCATCAAGTGGTTAGACGCATGTATTATTTTTCCTATTTCCGATAGTGCGTGGGTTAGTCCGGTACAAAGTGTACCCAAGAAAGGGGGAATGACTGTTATAAAAAAACGAAAAAAATGAATTAATCCCTTCTAGGATGGTAACGGGTTGGCGAATTTGCATGGATTATAGAAAATTGAATAAAGCCACTCGAAAAGACCATTTCCCCTTGCCCTTTATTGATCAAATGCTTGATAGGCTAGCTTGTCAAGAATTTTATTGCTTTTTAGATGGGTATTCCGGTTATAACCAAATCGCCATAGCTCCGAGGATCAAGACAAAACCACTTTTACTTGTCCTTTTGGTACTTTTTCCTTTAGACGTATGCCTTTCGGTTTATGCAATGCTCCTGCTACTTTTCAACGTTGTATGATGACAATTTTTACGGACATGGTTGAATGTGGTCTTGAAATTTTTATGGATGATTTTTCTGTTTTCGGTGATACGTATGACACTTGTCTCCAAATACTGGCTAAGGTTCTTCGCAGGTGTGAAGAGACAAATTTGGTGCTCAACTGGGAAAAGTGCCACTTTATGGTACAAGAAGGGATTGTGCTAGGACACAAGGTGTCAAGGAAAGGGTTATAAGTCGATCGAGCAAAAATCGAGACAATCGAGAAATTACCGCCACCAATATCCGTAAAGGGGATTCGAAGTTTTTTGGGACATGCGGGATTCTATAGGCGGTTCATCTAGGATTTTTCTAAGGTTGCCAAACCATTGTGCAATTTGTTGGAGAAGGACGTCAAATTTGACTTCAATGACGAATGCCTCCAAGCCTTCGACGACTTGAAAACAAGGTTAGTAACTGCTCCTATTATTGTTGTGCCTGATTGGAATGAACCCTTTGAACTTATGTGTGATGCCAGTGATTATGCGGTCGGTGCCGTGTTGGGTCAAAGAAAGAATAAATTTTTTCATTCAATTTACTATGCTAGTAAAACTCTAAATGAGGCGCAATTAAACTATACCACCACTGAAAAAGAGTTGCTAGCAGTTGTTTTTGCATTTGAAAAATTTAGATCATATCTCATAGGCACAAAAGTCATTGTCTTTACGGATCACTCGGCTTTAAAATATTTGATAGAAAAAAAAGAAGCAAAACCTAGACTTATTAGGTGGGTCTTACTGTTGCAAGAGTTTGATTTGGAAATTCGTGACCGGAAGGGTAGCGAAAACCATGTAGCCAATCATTTATCTAGGCTAGAAACGGAATTAAAAGATCCAATTTGCATTAATGAAAACTTTTCGGATGAACAATTGCTTGTTATTGATAATCAAGAAGTACCATGGTATGCGGATTTTGTCAATTATTTAGTTAGCCATGTACTTCCACCTGAGCTCATTTTTCATCAACGAAAAAAGTTTTTACACGATGTGAATTTCTACCTTTGGGAAGAACCCTTTTTGTGTAGACAATGCAGCGATTTAGTCATTCGAAGATGTGTACCGGAAAGCGAGCAAGGAGATATACTTTTTCATTGCCATGGCTCGGACTATGCGGGGCATTATGGAGGTGAGCGCATGGCGAGAAAGGTACTTCAATCAAGTTTCTTTTGGCCAACTCTGTTTAAAGATTGCTATAATTTCGTTTCAAGTTGTGATAAATGCCAGCGAGTTGGTAATATTTGTAGGAGGCACGAACTCCCATTAAATACAATGATCGAAGTAGAGCCCTTCGATGTATGGGGAATAGATTTTATGGGGCCTTTTGTCCCATCATTCAATAACCTATACATCTTAGTGGCCGTCGATTATGTATCTAAATGGGTTGAGGCGGCCGCCTTTCCTACTAACGATTCTGCAATGGTTTGTGCTTTCTTGAAAAGACAGATTTTCACTCACTTTGGAACACCACGAGCAATTATTAGTGATGGAGGCACTCACTTTTGCAATAAACAATTCGAAGCACTCTTGGCCAAATATGGTGTAAAGCACAAGGTCGCATTAGCCTACCACCCTCAGACGAACGGGCAAGCCGAGGTCACGAATCGTGAAATCAAAAACATCCTCGAAAAAGTTGTGAGTCCTACCCGAAAGGATTGGTCAAGAAAATTAGAGATGCACTTTGGGCATATCGTACAGCTTACAAAACTCCACTTGGGATGACACCATTTCGATTGATTTATGGCAAGGCGTGTCGTCTACCGGTTGAATTGGAGCATAATGCGTATTGGGCAATTAAGAAGCTGAATTTCGATCTTGAAGCATGCAAGGAGAAACGAATGATGCAACTCAACGAGCTCGATGAATTGAGATTGAATGCTTATGAAAGCAATCGTGTATACAAGGAAAAAACCAAGCGTTGGCACGATAACAAGATATTGCATCGAGAATTTCAAAAGGGGCAATTGGTACTCCTTTACAACTCCAGTCTAAAGTTGTTTCCGAGAAAACTCAAGTCAAGATGGTCCGTACCGTTTACTATACTCGAAGTATTTCCGCACGGCGCAGTCGAGTTATTGGACCCCGAAACCGAAAAATCTTTCAAAGTCAATGGGCAACGTCTCAAGCATTACCGAGGAGGGGAATTCAATCGCCAAGTGACTTCGGTCACGTTAGCTTGAACAAAGAAACAGACAAAGTTCGGCTGAAGACTGTAAACTTAGCGCTTCTCGGGAGGCAACCCGAGATTTCATTTTTTCTTTCTTTTATTTTATTTTAGTTTTGTTAGTTTTAGTTTTTATTTATCTATTTTTTTTTATTAAAAAGCATGCACGCTAACCAAATAAGAAATTTTTATTTTTCAGGGGTTAAAATGCAATTTTTGCATTTCACACAGCCGCGCAAGAAAAAGGAAGAAATCTCACACGGCCGTGTGAGATTTCGGATGGGCTACTATATCAATTCAGAGTGGGGCGCGGCCGTGCAAAAAAGTAACTAAAATTCGCACGGCCGTCCGAGAATCGGAGGAGGCTACTGCCAAAAATTGAGTAGGGGCGCGGCCGTGCGGAATTTACACTGAATTCTCGCACGGCCGTGCGAAGAACAGTAGGCTACTGCCCGAAATTCAATTTCTGCACAGCCGTACGGGAAAACAGTACAATTAGTCACACGGCCGTGCGAAACAAAAAACGGGCATATTAAAGAAGGGTTTCCACACCACAATTTTCACAATTTCAAATTCCCTCTCTCCCCCACTTCGAACCCTAGCCCCCTCCTTTCGAAAATTTCCCTTTTCATTGAAACATTTCGCCGAAAATTCACCAACTACACACATATAATACTCAAACACTGTGGATTTTTGTTGATTCTTGCAGGGAGGACTCAAGAAAGGTGCAAATTTCTCCACAAATGTATTCAACAAGGAATGCCCACAAGGTGTTCGACGAATTGCCCGAATCAAGTTTGGGGGAAATTTTGCACACCAATTCACTTCAAATCCCTTCCACAAAGCATTCTCACATCATGGGAAAAAGAGGACGTGACGGAGAATGCACTTCAAAAGGAGAAAGCACTTCAAAAGGAAAGGGGAAGGGCAAGAAAGCCGACCAAGTTCCAACTCCCGATGAAGACGCCTTTTGTGTGGAAGGCTCCAAGGTCCGTTTTGAAAAACAAACGATGAAGAAACTTGTGACGGAGCGCGCATATACGGTCACCCTACCGCAATTTGAACCGTTGAATCAAGAATTCATACGACGAGGGTGGCAATCATTGTTGGAACCGGCGGAGTCGATAAACTTGTCTTTGGTCCGCGAGTTCTATGCCAACACCCTTATTCTCCTAACTTCGGATAGGAAGATGAGCACGGTTCGAGGGAAGCGAGTCGATTGGAGTGCCAAGGCCATCAATTCCTTCTACAACACCCGACATGAGCCATTCAATTGGGAACAAATGCAACTCGCAGTAACAAAAGATCAACTCGGCGAGGTAGTGTGCGATGGGCCCCCAATTTGGTCCGAATTCTCCACCGAGGAGGAATACGAGTTGGAGTGGAAATGCATTCACCAAATAGGCAAGGCGTGCCTTACTTTCATATGCGCTAACCTCATCCCCACCCGCTCGTGGACTCAAGTGAACCATGAAAGGTGTGCTCTTGCGTATTACATTTTAAAGGGCACACTGATCAATATTGGAGAGATCATATCCGACCGCTTTTGGATCTCCATGACCAACAACTCCAAAGGGTTCTATTTCCCTTGCCTCGTTACTGGCTTATGCAAGAAGGCGAAGGTTCCAACCAAAACGACGGATATTGACACACAAATTCGGAAGCCGATTAGTAACCTTGCGGCCCGACAATTCAAGGCACCCATCTATGGTGGAGAGCAACCTGTCGATGGACAACAATTAGCTCCACCCGAGAGTCCAAGCACAAGTTCGGACTG